TGATGTGTATGTATTGTGATGTATGTGTAATGTGTGTATGTGTGTGTGTGCTATGCATGTGTGTTTGTGATGTGGGTGCTTATGTGCGTGATGTGTATGTATGTGCATATGTTTGTGTGTGTGTGTGTGTGTGTGCACGCGCGCGCGCGCGATGTGTGTACCATGGCATGTGTGTAGAAGTTAGAAGACAGCATGGAGGAGTTGGGTCTGTTATTTCACCTTCACGCGGGCCCCAGGGATGGGATACAGGCTTTCAGGTTTGTATAGCAAGTGCTTCACCCACTGGGCCATCTTGCTAGCCCTAGGAATGATTTTAACAATGATTCACTAGAAATTGCAGAACAGGAAGCAGCAGAGTTGACGCCAATTATCTGGGCCTTACTTAATCCAATCACTTCACTTCTGAATCAATGCGGAAGATGCCATGCTGGGCATGGAACAAGAAATAAAATAGAGACAGATTAAGTATAAATTAAAGAATTTTAAATAATTCTTAAACAATTTTTTCTTAACCTGAAACTTTACAATAACTGGCAATACTAAACGTGCCTTATTTCAGCCACTTTTATATGCTTCTACTTTTGGGCAATTTTGGATTTATAGAAACCTACAAAAGTAATACAGATTTCCTATATATCGCTCAAAGGGATTTCCCTATTGCTGGTATTATACTTTAATGGGAAATACTTGCTATAATTAATGAACCAGTTCCTAATGGCAGCCCATACCGTCGTCAGCTTACTTAAGTTTTTATCTAATGTGCTTTCTAGGTTACCTTATGCTACTTGTCTCTGAACCAATTAAATATTGGCTGGAGAAACTCGAGGACTAAGAGTGATTTAATCTGGGTCGAGCACTGGCCACAGTCGGTGAGCAGAGGACCTCAAGGGTGGGGCTAAACAGACGGCAAACCAGCCAGTGAACTCAGTGAGCTGCACAGGGCTTTCTGAGGAAGAGTTCACTAAGAACACACATCACACACACGCACACACACACACGTATGCACAGACACACACATGCAGACACACGCACGTGTACACACACAAATCAGTGAACTGAAAAGCTTGTTTTTATTATTCATGAACATGACAGATTCAGCAAGTTATGTGTGGCTAAAGGTGTTCCCAATTGTTTAATATTCCTTAAAGGTCTCTCTAGAAAGTTCTCAGATTCCTAAGATTCAGTAAAACAGAAAAATCTCTAACAGTTAGTTACTTAGCTGTCTTTTTAGTCTGCTGATATACATGCATAAACCCACGCTCTACTTACTACCAAGTCTTTCTTTATCATCCTCTTTTAAATTAAACTACTCCTTTTTAGAGAAGAAAATGCAGTCACGTGACTACAAATTAAAAATGTGCCAAGATTTTCCAGGCTTCTCTCCTCTCTCCCCGTTCTACAGCCGTCTGAGTGCCTTCAGTCACCACGGCTGCCGCTTTCTTGGGTGTCCTATCAGAGACGAACTACACTTTTGTAAGTAAGCTTACATGTGTATTTTCTCTATTTTTTGCCCCTCATTCTAAAAGGTTCCTTGAGTGTTTCATATAATGTGTTTGAGCATTCTCGCTGTGTCTCCCAGCTCTTCCCAATCTTGTATACCCTTTCTTCTTTAAACCTGCCAAGTCGTATTCACGCTGCCCGGATATTTTGGATGTGACCCTCACTGGAACACGGGCAACCTGCAAGGGGACATACCCTGAAAACACTTTTTCTCCTCCCTCCCTCCCTTTCTCTCTCCCTTCCACCTTCCTTCCCGCTCTCCCTCCCTCTCCGGAGCTACCAATTGGCAATAGCCTCTTAGCTAGGGGTGGAACATTGTGCTCACCTCTCCTCCCCGTGCTGGGATGCTCTCTGACTTGGGCTTCTACAGATCTTAGACTGTCATTTCTGTTGTGAGTTCCTATGTGCTCATATGTGAGTTCCTGCTGTGTTCGGAAAACACCATTTCCACCACATCTGGCTCTTAGCGTCTTTATGACCCGTCTTCCACAGTGGGCCTTGAGTCTTAGGAAGAGGCCGTGTGATGAAGATGGCCCATTGTGGGCTTTGCCCTCCAAGCCTCATTCTCTGCACCTTAGTCAGTTATGCATCTCTGTGTTAAGTGGCCTCTCCTGCAAGGAGCTATGAGACTGAGAGATGCATTAATCTATGAACGCAAGTCTTTCGGGAACAGCTTAGCGCTACATCCATGCAACCGAATAATAGAAGCAGGCTCTCCCCTAGAGCTTATGAACTATGTGCATTTTGCTTCTGTTCCCTTAAAATTAGCCCCAACAGTCTT